TTGATTTACCAAAGGCTATAGATGACTATGTTCACAGGATAGGTCGGACAGGACGTGCTGGGAAATCTGGTTTGGCCACGGCATTTTTCAGTGAGAAGAATGCTCCTCTTGCAAAAGACCTTGTTGAACGGATGAAGCAAGCAAATCAAGAAATCCCAACTTGGCTAAAGGAATATGCTGAGACAACTTACATGTCTGCTAATGGTAGATCTAAGCGCTCTGTAGGCAACATATTTGCTGGTTATGATTATAGAAGTGGCGATGTCGATGGTGGTAATGGGTATTTCTCTAGCCATTATGCTAATAGTACTACAGGGAGTGTATATCCTTTTTCTGCTCCTGACACTTCTCAATTTGCTCCTTACGACGTCCCTGTTGGTGCTGATGTTACTGGTTTCAGCAACAATTCGTTTGATGCAGGTTCAAACAGCTATGGAAATGATTATGGCTCTGTTGTTGCAACTGGGTGGGATTGACTATCGTGCCCTTGTTAGTTTTGTTCACAATCAAACATCAATACAGTAGTAAATACTGATAGTACAATACTTTTGCTTGCACTAATTGTTGCTGAAGACAAACTAAATGGTGCCTCATGGGATGGGATTGAAGATACGGATCTATATTTTTGTGCGAGTTTTTTTGTTGAAAGATTGTTGCTCCTGCTCCTAAACAGTTGATTTGCAAGTATCTTTTTTGTGTAAATGGAGTGGGATTACGATTCCAGATAGTAGACGAGTTTATGTTTTGTAAGTTACCTTCGTATCTTAGTAAAAAATCTATCGTTGTCCATTGCTTTATTATTATGTGGTGTGTAATATGAATAGCTAGTCTAATCTCTTAAAAGCAATTTTAGTTCTTGAAAGTTACTGTTTCAGACTTATTGATGGTTCCATTTATTTTAGATTTTACTGCGATTTGATCATCTGCTGCTTTTCTTTAATGCCATGTTTTGGATGGAGAATGACTATAATAAATAAGAAAAATTAAGTTAAGATACTGTTTGTAATGATGTTATATGAGGCACGATGCATTTGGGGTACGTTTGATTGCAAGCATGAAATTTGTTTTGAAAAAAACTAAATTTTAGGCAATTAAATTGCCTAAAACTTATTTTTATGAAAATTATTAATTAAATGTGTTCGATTGATATAGTTTTCAATCTAGAAAATATTATAATTGTCCTTTTTTTATTGGTGGATAGATAAGAGAGAGGATAAATATGAGAGAGAGAGAGAGGGTGAATTATCCAGAAAATAAAAACCAATTCTCCTTAAGAAAATGTTTTCCATGAAAAAAGTTGTCAATCAAAACACCAAAAAAGTAACAATTTGAGTGAAAATAATAATAATTTTTATGGAAAATAAAGTCATTTAACTCCCAATATGTAGACATGTTAATGTGCAAGAAAATAACAAAGGGTAGTATGTTTTAACTTATGCAGTGATAATTGAAGTTTTATATTCTGAATATGTATTTCTCTTATGAGGGTGTGTTTGATAGGGTTGATTTTCCATGGAAAATGGAAAATGTTTTCCATTTTTCATGTTTTTTGGTGTTTGATAGCATATTTTTTCTTGACAATTGGAATTGCCACTCTCTCTCACATGGTGACAATTTCTAGCTTTTCCTTGAATTCTTTTTCCCACAATTTAGGTAGGAAAATGGTTTCCATGTTTTTATTTTTTTTGCAATGAAAACAAATTTCTTAACTAGTTGCAAATTTTTTTTTTCACTTTAATAGATAATTTTCATGTAAAACAAAGTCAAACGAACACTAAATTTTGATTAAAAAATGATTTTTATAGGATTTTTTTTTTTAACTTTTTGGCAATGGAAACAAATTTTATAACTAATTGTGAAAAAAATTATTACTTTAATGAACAATTTCCATCTAAAACAAAGTCAAACGAACACAAAATTTAAAAAATTTTCGGGTGAAAAATTATACCAATCAAACACACTAAATTAACAATTCCCTACAAAACAATTTCTAAACAATTACTTTATCTGAAATTCATTTTCTTTCCATTCATTTTCCACCATTGCAATCAAACGGACCCCTAGTAAAATTTGATTATAGTTTACGGGTAAATTTCACCAGCGGTCATTGAACTTTACCTTTTATGCTATTAGGTCATTGGACTTTATTTTCAAGCAATTACAATGTACTATTATCTGTGAGCAATTAGGTAACTTCATAGTCTTCCGCTCAACCACTTAACAAAACTGATGACTTGACCGTTAAAAGTAATGGAAGCTCCATGTTTTGCCAAGTCAGCAAAGTAAATTTCATCGAGAGTCATTGAACTATAATGTTGCTTGCAATTAAGACACTGAACTATTAATTCAGTACAATCACTCCATTGAACTTTAAAAAAAAAAAAAAAACTTTTTTAAGTGTTCGTTAGATTGCTTCTCACTTGTTTTCTTTGTATTGGAAATGGTAATTTTTAATTAATTAATTTATTTCATATGTTGCATTGTTTTGCTTTTTGAAGGTCGGGTTTATGCCTCCCTCTTGTTCTCGTAAGTTTTATTTTATGTATGGTCGGAGAATTCTAACTCCCATCAAGCTTCCTGGTAGAGCCTGAAATCTATTAAGGTTGTGTTGATATTTTGCTTAAAAAAATATTATGTAGTGTGATTGCGCCGAAAATAAGTCTAGTGTCTTGATTACGAGTAAGACTAAGTTTAGTGACGCCAAGTGAAATTTAATTTGTTGACTTGGAACGCGTGGAGATTTCATTACTTTATTGGTCACTTCACCAGTTTTGTTTAGTAGTTGAAAGGAAGACTATATATATATATATTGAGTGGTGTGGTGATAGATGATTCGGTGGTGGTGATGGTGTGTTGGTTTTGCGATTATGGTGGTGGTGGAGGTGTGCAATAAGGTGCGTGTGGTAGTGGGAACGAAAAGCTCTATGCGGTGCGGTGCTGTGTGCAGTGGTTGGGTGTGATGGTGCTGTGTAGTGGTGGTTGGGTTCGGTGCTGTGTCCGATGGACTGGTTCAGTGCGGTGGTGTGCAATGGGTGTTGTGTGAGGGTGGTTGGATGCGGTGGTAGTGTGCAGTGGTTGTGTACCGTGATATCTGGCCCTTGATTTGTGACAATAGTGTCGTGGTGGCAATTGTGGTGGTGGTGCGGCAACGGCCACGACATGGGAAGAAGAGAGTTTACGACCAACTATTTAGTTGATTTGTGAACTAAGTATTTGTAGTGGATCGGGATCAAAGGTGGGAGAGTGGTGTTTGGTGTATGTGACCAACTATTTGGTTAATTTGTGAACAATTATTTGATTATTTGTGACCTAAAGATTATATAATTTGTAATAATCGAAAAATAATTTGTCACCAACTAATTTGAAAATCTATGACATATAAATTTTTTGATTTGTGATCGTGAAATAATCTATGACCAATAAAGAAGCTGTAAATTATGTGTACGTACATGCGACTATT